CAATGAAACCTCTCTCCAGGTTTTTTTTTATAAATCTTTCCATTTCCTCCTTCTCCTTTGGGCTCATGGAGTATAATCTGGGCTTCGGGAGTTTTGCCCCAGGCTTGAATTCAATGGTACAGTCTGTGGGTCGGTGGGGGGGAAGCTCATTCGCCCTCTCCTCACTGAAGACTTCAGCAAGGTCCCTATATTCCTCTGGTATTTCTGTTAATCTTTTTTCCTCTCCTATGGATGCTTTTTCTATTCTTGATTCTGGTAGCCTCCCTTGGGGTTTTAAGTCCATAGGGTCCCCCTTCGGGAATTTGATTTCTGTCGTCCTCCAATTTACCCAGGGGTTCCATTTTTTCAACCATTCCATCCCTAGAATCATTGGGCATTCCATACCTGGGGTCACCACAAACGTTAAGTCCTCTTCATGGTTGCCCAGGGAGAGGTGTATTGGCAGAGTGGCTAGGGTAGCTGGCACCCCCCCTGCTATGGATCCATCTAGCTGGCCAAATGAGATTGGTTGTTCCAGTCTCCTGGATGGGATGCCCAGATTCCCCACTAGTGTTGGGCTAATGAGGCAGCGGGTGCAGCCAGAGTCTATTAAGGCTTTCACCTTCACAGCTTCGGGCATGGGGGGGATTAATATAGTCACTGTTTTGAAGATGGGTGTGATGCGTCCACTTACCAGGGGTTCGCCCTCCGAGCTGTCATCTGAGGCATCCACCGGCCCTGTGGTGTAGGCTGGAGTTCTTTCCCCTTGGTGAGCAGAGGTGGGGGTTTCTGCAATTTCCATCATTCTCATGGCTGTTTCTTTTGGCTTAGCTGAATACTTTCCGGTTTTGTTGATTGGGGATCTGTCTGGGTTGTGCTGGGGGGCCTTTGAGCGGCATTCTACAGCTCGATGCCCTTCTCTTCCGCACTTGAAACACCCCATTTGCTTCTTGGCTGTATCCGATGATTTCACCGGTTGGTGTGTCAGCTCAGGCGGGGGGCGGCTCCATTGTTTTCCTCGGCGGTGCCTCTTCAATATGTCGATCTCTGCTTCCTCTGCCAAGACGTACCATTCCTCAAGTCGATGTGGGTCCCCTCGGGGCAGGCAAGCATCATATAGATCATAGTTTAGTCCGTCTTTGAAATGGCCAAGGAGGATGTCTTCTGGCCAATTCAGTTTGCTGGCAATGGCCCGGAATTCTTGTGTATACTCAGCCACTGGGCGTTTGCCCTGCCTCATCGTTGTTATTCTTTCACGGGCTTTGCGATCAGCCAGGGGGTCTTCAAATCGTCTTCTCAAAGAGGACATGAAACGGTTGAAGTTACTGAGTTCTGGGGCATTGGAGTCATGCAAGTTCACTACCCAATCCGCAGCTGGTCCATCCAGGGCAGATTGCACGATCCGGATGCGGGCTTTGTCGCTGGGAATATCCTGCCCATATTCCTCCATGTAGCTGAGGACTTGGGTTAGGAAAAACCCCAAGCGTGTTGGCTCCCCTTTGAATTTCACTTCCAACGGTGGACGTCTTGGAATGGATCGGTGTCTCTGTTGTGGGTGGTAGTGCCTTCCGTCCAGATTGCCATCTGTGGTCCGGTAGGGGGTGGGAGCTCCTGGATCAGTAGATGTCCCTGGGGTTGCAGGTTCCATGTCCCCCTCGGTGTCTCTCCCTTTGCGGCTCCAGGAACTGGGGCGGCCGTAGGGTTCAGTATTCTCCTCTCCTAGGGAGCTGAGAGTTCTCTTCATCAGGTCAATAGCTTTCTCTAGGATCCAGTCTGAGTACGGTGCCCAGCTTCCTCCCTCTTCACTTGCGTGCAGGGATTTCTCCATCTCCTGCTTCCATTCTGGTTGCTTGGTCCCCCGTCTCAGGGTCACCTTTCTTGATTCCTTTCCCCACTCACTTTTCTTTCCAACGCCCATCGACCAGCGAGGCTTGTGGTCCTGTGTCTCCACCACTTCTTCTCCTGAGGAAACTGGCCTCTCGGATCCCAACATATGGCAAGGTTCCAGCTGGGTCAGCGGCTCTCTTTCCAGGGAGTTTTCCCCCTCTCTTGCTCCATTGTCTGACATGGTAAATTTTTGCAAAATCCCCCGGCAAGGGTCTCCCTTCCAGGTGGATTAATTTTGCAAGTCCTGTCTAATGTAAGGACCCACCCCACTTTGCATCTTAAGAAGACAGAACTCTTGGAATAATTCTTCCAACAGGAATCCTTTATTAAGAGAAAATGGTTGCAGGCATGCTAGACAGGACTTGGGGTCCAAGCTCTCCCATTCAAGGTTTTAAGGGGTTCCCCAGTAGTCCCACCCAATCAACCCCCCTTCCAGTGATAGTTTCAAGTATCACAATTCCACTCCCTTTCTTCTTTCTTCCGTCTGGATGGAGACTTCAGATAACTACATGAAAGGCAATTACTCTCCTTTGGTATGCTAACACTTCGAGGTTACAATAAACACACATTCAGCATTTAGCTCTTTGAAGTGTAAAGAAGGAAGTGAGGGCCATAAAGCCCCTTTGTTCTCCCCCTTCTCTCCCTCTTATGGCAGAATCCAGAGAAGGCAGAATTGGGAGTTTCTATATTTGATAATTTAAAGATGAAATATAATTGGATTCTGACAGGAACACTGCAATCCTGTGTCCTCTGGTCCTTCTTTTCACTAGCCATGCCAAGTTCCTGTAGTCATTCTTCATATGTTTTAGACTCCAGTCCCCTAATCATCTTTGTTGCTCTTCTCTGCACTTTTTCTAGAGTCTCAACATCTTTTTTATAAAGCAAAGATCAACATTGGTTGCAGTATTCTAGGTGTGGTCTTACTAAGGCTTTATAGAGTGATATTAGTATTTCATGTGATCTTGATTGAATCCCTCTGTTAATGCAACTTAGGATTGCATTGGCTTTTTTGGCTGCCGCTGCACACTGTTGACTTATATTTAATTGTCTACTAAGACTCCAAGATCCCTCTTGCTGCTATTAAGCCTGGTTTCACCCAATCTATATGTGTACTTCTGGTTTTTCTTGCCTAAGTGTAAGACTTTACATTTCTCTACTAGAATTTCATTTAGTTGTCTAGATAGGGCCCAGTGTTCAAGTCTGTCAAGATCCCTATGGATCTTGAGCTATCATCTAGGGCAGGGGTCTGCAACCTTAAACACTCAAAGAGCCACTTGGACCCGTTTCCCAGAGAAAAAAAAACACTGGGAGCCACAAAACATGCACACGTGCATGAGTGGCGGAGCTTGATTGAAGAGTTTAATTAAAAAGAAATAGAGGCTACTGTGCATGAGTTCTCTCTCTTGCTTTCCTCTCCTTCTCTCTCTTTCTCTCTCCTCTCCCCCATTTCTTTCTCTCCCTTTTCTCTCTCTCCCTTTTTCTCTCCCTCTTCTCTCTCTCCTCTACTCTCCCCTTTTTTCTCTCCTCTCCCTTTCTTTCTCTCCCTTTCTCTCTTTCCTCTCCCTTTTTCTCCCTTTTTCTCTCTCCTCTCCCCCTTCTTTCCTTTTCTCTTTCCCTTTTTCTCTCCCTCTTTCCTCTCACCCTTCTCTCTCTCTCTCTCTCCTCCCTTTCTTTCTCTCCCTCTTTTTCTCTTTCCTCTCCCCCCTTTCTTTCCTCTCCCTTTCTCTCTCTCTCTTCTCCCTCCCTCTCTCTCTGTCTCCCTCTCTCCAATCTTCTGCTCACCTGGCAAGCTGGCTTCAAGCTGTTCTCCAACAGGCTGGCTCTCTCCTGCCCTTCCTGCTTCCTGCAGAGATGCAGCCAAGGCAGGAGCCCCGCCCAATAAACTTCTTAGCTCACAGTGAGGCCACTCTCTTTTTTTTTACACAAAGAGAGAGAGAGAAGAGAGAAGAGAAGCGCAAGTGCCTCTCTCTGTCTCTGTCTCTATACAAATGGCAGAGGAGGCTGGGAGCTGCAGAAGGTTCAAAGAGCCACATGCGGCTCCTGAGCTGCAGGTTGCCGACCTGTGATCTAGGACAGTGGTGGTGAATCTATGGCACGTGTGCCAGAGGCGGCACTCAGAGCCCTCTGTGGGCATGTGTGCCATCACCTCAGTCCTGCCTCCTCCCGTGGCCCCCTCATCAGCAGCCCCCCAGAGGAGAGTCGCACCCGAGCACAGCCCACACAGAGCAGTGCAGCCAAGGACATGGCAGCCAGGCAGCGGGGACAAGACTCCGATCTCCCACCCCATCACGCACAGTTGATGCTGCGGGGCACAGGCGGAGAGTGTAGCTGCCATGGAGCTGCTGGGCCACCTGGGCGATTGGCAGGCTGTGGAGGCAGTGGGTGGCCCTGCGGGTAGGCGGAGCGGGGTGGGGGGGCAGCATAGGGGCACAAAGTGGGGGTGAGGGCGGTTTTTGGGCACTCGGTCTCTAAAAGGTTCATCATCACTGATCTAGGGTATTGGCTATTATACTAGCTCCATTAATCTTCCATCATAAAATCTAGCCCCCAGGCCCCTTATCATCTTTGTCACTTTTCTCTGCACAATTTCTAGGGTCTCCGCATCTTTTTTGTATTGTGATGACCAGAACTGGATGCAGTATTCCAAGTGTGGCCTCATTAGTGCAGTATAAAGTGGCACTATTACTTCATGTGATCTTGATTATGGTCACTGTTGACAAAGTATCTAATATCTTATGAATATAAGATACTTCACAGAAAAAGATCTCTTTAGACTTGGTAATGATATGGGATCAATAAACAACTCATTGCGTATCAGATTGTTCTGTGACATGTAAGCTCTTTCAGAATTGGTTGAACAACATTCATTTTATTTTGCCTTTGATACTAGAAACACTGAACTCATTTCTATCTAATGTGCCACTTAAGCTTTATGCTTTAATCATCAAATATAGAGAGAGTAGAAATCATCATCAAGGTGACAGATGTGTGGAAATATATGCCCCATTAAAGTATATTATTTCTGAAGTTTCATTTTTGTTCTGGTCTGGCACAGGATTCAGCTGTGTTGTATTTAGTATATGTGCCACATTTCAGAGAGCTTAGATTTCATATCATGCCTTCCTTTTTCTCAGGTTTCTCCCATTCCGCATTTACATTTGGAATAGAGAGTCATATTAGCCAATCCAACATAAATGGAACATTAGTGCCACCTGCTGCCCTTATCTCTATACTTCAGAAAGGCTTACAATATGTGGAAGCAGAGATAAGCATCAATGAGGCAAGTATCATCTCTTCCTTAGGTAGAAAATGTTTAATAATTAGAGCTTGATCAAACTAAGGCAAACTAGTTTGCTTGAGTAGATGCTAATTTTGAAGGATAGAAGAACAAAAACCAGACCTAACTTATTTGTTAATGTTGATTTTAATTAAAATGGATGTGCTTGTTTTTCTTTAACTGGTGAAAGCCGTTGGGTCTCTTTTTCATTCTGCTCTTTTGAAAATGATATTTTTTATATTTGATTGTATATTAATTTTAATTTCAAATATGACTTGGAAGTATCAATAAAGTGTAACAAACATGATTTTAATGTTTGTTGAGTGGTTGCATACATTGCAGTTTTGACCTGAATATCATACTGAATGAGATGCTTTTCAATTGCTTTGGAGACATTCTAAGTTGATTTGTAAATTCCCGGGACTTTTAAACAATCTGAAACATTATTGCAAATGTTGTTTCATATATAAACAAAGCTGAAAAGAGACTGAGTGGAGTATTCAGCTCTCTGATAACAGAGGTGAATGGCCAGTGAGTTTTACACCGCCTAAAACCCACTTATCATAGCACCTTAATTGCATCACTCTTTTATTAGAATTTGTTGCTTCTCGGGAATGGAAGTTGGAGTGGGGGGACAATTGACAATTGACTACAGTTGACTAATGGGGATTTTATCAGTGCCGATGGTGTTCAAGTGGTGCTCTAGACATTTTGGGACTGCACTCAAGGAACCTACTGCTATTGGCACTATCTTTGCATTTTTTTGCCATAGCCATTCTACTTCTTTTTACAGGTCTTTATATTTTATGGTTTTCTTCAGTTCTTTCTCTTCTGTTCTGCTATTTCCATATATTGCAACATCCACCATCAAGATTTTTTTTAATTTCATATCAACAACGGTTAAGTCCGGGTGTTGTTTGGCAGGTGTTTGTTCGAATTCTAAAACCCCAGAGAATTATCTTATTTATTTATTTATAGATTCATTCATTCATACATACATACCTATATACAAAAATGTGAATTCTTATTATCACCTTCATAGATGAAATTCTATTCAGTCTGTAAATGAATATTATAGATTTATGCCTCCCTAAACTCTTCTTTTAGATAACTAAGTTTGTAATGCACACATTCTATATTTAGCATGAAATCTTAATACCAAATATATATTTAGATTGCAAACAAATATTTGCATGTAATAATATTACTCACAATGAATTTCTGATATTGTTTGACGTCAGGTGTTAATTGTGCTACACAGAAATCATTATTAAGAAGTGTTCTTGCTAAGGCTCATTTATTTGAGACCATTATTTTGTAGTGCACTTAGAAGATAATTCATTTTCTGTACATGTTGTCTGTTTGGTTGGTTTTACTTGCACTATGTTACATATTGTCAATAGAAAAATTATTTTAAAAGCAGTTTATACATAATAAACTATCTCATTGTTTTAGGTATGGAATAATGCATATGCTGCTTGCTTTGCTAATCATAATCAAAAGTGATAAGATAATTAAAAATAATAATGTTGTCAGGTCAAAGTCAGAACTAGGGTAGAACTTCAAAAAAATTCAGTCTTTGTTCGATAAATTCTGATTGTTCTTAAGTTTCCAGTCCTTGAAAAGGGTGACTTAAGATTATGTTGGTGTTCTTAATTTTATTAATTCATATATATATGCTGTCCCATACACACATAACTGTGGTTTAGTGGGTTTATTAATATTCCCCCACAACTCCCTTCACCAAAACCCCAGAACTGTCCCAATTAAGTCCAGCCACAAGCAGACCAATGCTAATCTACAGAGCAATTGCCAGTGAATCCTTAATGCACTTGAAAATTTCCCAATCAAAAGGAACCCAGGAACCCACCAGGCAAACTTAAACCCACAATACAAGAGGGTTCACAAGGCATGATCCAAATCAAGGTACGGTGTCAATCCAAAGCAAGGAAAGAATCATAATGACCAGAAAACACACAGCTAGGAAATGAACACATTGTTCCCAGCATCGCTTCCATCTCTCTGCTGTGCTAAATAGCCAGTTTCTGGTGCAGCCCATCAAGAAGGGTGAGGTTTTTTCCTTGTGAGTAATCTGGCTGACCTTACCTGCTCCTACCTTTTCTCTGCCCTATGTGTTCTTGGATCAGGTGCAGAAAGCAGTTCTTCCTTATCACTGACTGGCTGCAGCTGCATGCTTTTTCCACCTGAAGTTTCAGGGCTATCCAGCTTCAGCTGTGCTTGAGCCAAATCCCTTTCAAGTGGCTACTCGGAGCCATTAACCAGCTCCCCTCCAGACATGCCTGGAACTGGTTCATCTTCCTTTGAGCTGATATCTGGGGAAGCATCTGAAGGAGTCATCACAATATATATATTTATATATATGGCCAAGTCAAAGCTTGAAATCACGGTCTCTTGCTTTCTAGCCTGATGCCTTAGCCATTAGACCAAATTAGCTAAAATTATCATATACAAGGTGTAAGGACCCACCCCACTTTGCATCTTAAGAAGACAGAACTCTTGGAATAATTCTTCCAACAGGAATCCTTTAAGAGAAAATGGTTGCAGGCGTTCTAGACAGGACTTGGGGTCCAAGCTCTCCCATTCGAGGTTTTAAGGGGTTCCCCAGTCCAGTGACAGTTTCAGGCATCACAATCCCACCCCTTTTTCCTTTCTACTGGCTGGATGGAGACTTCAGAGAAAACTACATGAAAGGTAAATAGCCTTTGTTATGATAAGGCCTTTTGGTTCTATCCACATTCAATCCCTTTGAAGTTGTACCGAAGGAAGGTGATGGCCATAAAGCCCCTTTGTTCACCCCCTTCTCTTTCTTTATGACAGAATCCAGAGAGGGCAGAAATGGGGTTTTCTATAATTGATAACTGGAGATGAAGTATAATTGGATTCTGATATCCGGCCCCCTTAAAAATAAGAGAGATCCACCTGAAAGAAAACAAAACAGGTATAAAAGTTAGTCAGGCTTATTAGGATACTCTGTGTAAAACTTCTTCAATAGCTTCAGGGCTCTGACATGACGTTTATGGACCCACTCGTTTTGTGAGGGAGGGAGGTGTTTCCAGGCAACTAGGTACTGAGTTGCTCCATGATATCTCCTAGAGTCAAGGATTTCCTTTATTTCGAAGTGTTGTTCACCCTCCACCATGATTGGAGGTGGTGGGGGGGTATTTTTGGCCGTAGAGGTGACTGATGCTCTCTTTTCAGAAAGCTGCAATGAAAAATTGGGTGTATTTGCCTGAGATTTTTGGGTAATTCTAATTCTACTGTTACTGGATTTATGATTCTTTTAATTGGAAAAGGTCCTATATATTTTGGTCCAAGTTTTTTACAGGGCTGTAGGGACTTTAGGTATTTTGTAGATAAGTACACCATTTCTCCTATAATGAATGGTGTAGGCTCAACCCTTTTTTATCGGCTTGTGCTTTGTATGCCTGCCTAGCTTCATCTAGTGCTTTTCTAACTATTGGCCAGGTGTTTTGTAGTTTTTCCATCCATTCTTTCAGCGAAGGGATCGTTGGTTCGTTTGGGGTTAATTCTGGCATGGGGTTGAAACTTTGACCGGTGGCTATTTGAAAAGGAGTGTAACCTGTGCTGGAGTGGACTGCATTATTGTAGGCAACTTCTGCAAAAGGGAGTAAGTCCGCCCACTCGGTCTGCTGGAAACTAAGAAAACATCTTAAATATTGCTTAAGTACGGAGTTCATTTTTTCAGCCCCCCCATTTCCTTGTGGGTGGTGGCTAGATGTCAGTCCCTGAGTGGTTCCTAAGAGGGATAAAAATTCCTTCCAAAATGCAGACGTAAATTGCACCCCCCTGTCAGAGATGACACGTTGGGGTGCCCCATGCAATCTGTAAATGTGCTGGATGAAAAGTTTTGCTAAGGCTTTTGCGGTGGGAATCTTTTGGCAAGGGATAAAGTGCACCTGTTTGGAAAACAAGTCCGTGACCGTCCAGACAACAGTATTACCATTGCTTTCTGGCAATTCCACTATAAAATCCATGGTTATTTCTCTCCAGGGGGCTGAGGGACTTGCCACTGTTTGCAATAGTCCTGGCGATTTCCCTTGCAACCTCTTTGCAGTGGCACATTTTGGACAACTGGCCACATAACTTTCTATGTCCTTTTCCATGGATGGCCACCAAAATTGCCGTTTAATTAAATGTAAAGTTTTTACAAATCCAAAATGCCCTGCTGATTTTGTGTCATGGCAAAGCTGCATGAAAGTGACTCTGGGTTTTTGGTGTATATATAACTTTTCCCCCACCCAAGGAAACCCGTCTCTCATTGTGCACACATTTTTGTTTTTCTGGAACCATTCATCTGTTTCCAAACTTTTTCTGAATTCAATTCCAGTTTGGCTGTCCAGTTGTGGTTTTAATTTGGCTTGGGTTCTTGTGGTTACTGGTGCTGCCAGTTGTGACTCTGCCATTATTGGTTTAGAGTCTGTGGTTCGTGCGCTGTTATATTAAGGCATGCGAGGAAGTTCTTTCTCCCTGGTTAATGTTTGAGCTTAAATTGGAACTGGTGAAAATGCTGGAACCAGCGGGCTTGTTTGGGATTGAGTTTCCTGGATGTTTTCAGGGCTTCTAAATTTTTGTGATCAGTCCACACCTGGAAGGGGATTTTGTTGCCTTCCAGGAACTGTCGCCATGTGAGTAATGCCCAACATATCCCATAAGCCTCCTTCTCCCATACGGGCCAGCGCTGTTCTGTTTCCATGAGTTTCTTGGATGTATATGCACAGGGTTGCAATACTCCATCATCATTTTCTTGTAATAGAACAGCCCCCACTGCCACATCACTTGCATCTGCCTGTATTACGAAGGGCTTGTCCATGTCTGGGTGCCTTAGTACTGGTTCGGCAGAAAAAAGTCTCTTTAGTCTCTCAAACGCTGCTTGGCACTCCATTGTCCATGTTAGTGGCTGGCTAGGTTTTACTGAGGATGCTCCCTTCATTTTTAGTAAGTTAGTGAGGGGCAAGGCTATC